ATGGTTTCATAAGCAAAAGTATCAGGCAAGGTTATATTTTATCTCTTTGTCTATTCAATTTATATGCAAAATACATCATATGGAAAGCTGTATTGGATTCAGATAGATGAGGAGTAAAGATTGGTCAAAGAAATGTTGATAATCTAAAATACACTGATGAGATCATATTAATGCCAAAAAGCAGAATGACTTCAAATGACTTCTAATGAAGGTAGAAGAAGAATGTGCAAGAGGATGACTACAGTTGAATGTTAAGAAGAGAAAAACCATATCTATAGACGCATAACATCAATACCAACAGTAAAGAAATGGAAACTGTTTTAAGATATTCTATATCTTGGTTCAATCATCAATCCAAATGGAAACTACAGCCAAAAAATTTGAAGAAAACTAAGATTGGGAAGAGCACCTGTGAAGGAAGTAGAAGAGATCCTCTGATGTAAGAATGTGTCAAGTTGAAGATCATCCTACATTATGGTATTCCCAATTACTATGTATATATGTGACAGGTAGATATATCCTCATGATATATGAGGTGGGAGTCAAGATCGGGTAAGGATATAGATAGCAGAAAAAGTGAAAATTGTTTGTTTGTTTTTAATATATTTTATTTTTCCAAAACAAATACAACAATACAAAATACTTACTAACAATCTAAAACACAGTGCACCCCCATACCCAATTCTTTTATTATGAACCTCCTTTCCAAAATTGTATTGACTGTTGGTTAGAGGCGTTCCCCTTCCATTCACTAATACAAATTCAATAAATCTACCCCAAATACCATGAAAATATTTAAACTTATTTCCCCTCTTTTAATCTTACGTTCAGTAGTCAATTTGTCATTTAACGCAATGTTCCATACTTCGTTATACCAATCTTCTAATTTAATATCATGTTCGTCTTTCCAGGGTCTAGCTATTAATATTCTAGCACTTGTCATAAAATTAGAAATCAATTCCTCTGAGCAATAATCAAGTTCTATCATCAAAAAATTGTCAGCAAAGCAATTTTAGAGTAAAATTCAATATCTTTTAGTGTAAAAAGAACAAAGAGTTTAAATAAGTTGCCTTCTGGACTAGAACTCCCCAAATCCCCCAATCAAAGAGGAATTCAGGGGACTGTAGTCCCCAAAAAGTAACTTGTCTGAGCTCTGCATGTATCCTAGTGCTAATGTAACCCCTGTGAAATATTGGTTCTGCCCAAAGTGTTGAGACTAAGAAACAGCGAGTCTGTGAATAAAAGATTTGAATCAGAAAGAGCAGGAATGCTGAAGAGACTGGAGCTGCTGTTGCCATTTAGACTGCAAAGGCCCTTGAAAGCTTGGTCTAGGGTTTTGAAGATTCTGCATGTGGAGTTGATTCTTCTGTTTCATGGATACCCCAACTGGTTGAGGAAGCTATCGTGGATATTTGTTTAACTTTGAATTCAAAAGGACACTCTACAAGCAACACGTGCTGTTGCTGAGCGTTTGTGCAAACTGTAGCATTTTTGTTATTGTTATCATTGTTCATATCTGTTATATAACTGTAAATAAGAGACTAATTTTGTGAACTTGTATTTTTAAGTTTCATCAATAGCCCCATGGAACTATGTTATACTTGCTTGCTTGCTTGCTTGCTTGCTTGCTTGCTTGCTTGCTTGCTTGCTTGCTTGCTTGCTTGCTTGCTTGCTTGAGGACAGTGAAGCACTCACAAGACTATTACATAGTTTTGGCAGATGCTCAACACTTCTTTTTAACTTACAAAAGAACCACTAGGACCAACCTGGCAAACTCTTGCTGCAGTGGAATCCATGGTTGTTTCATTAAGGCCAGTGTTGCATTACAAGCAATGTGTGTCATTTGTTTAAAAAGCCAGCTGAGTAAACAAATCAATAACACTCAGGCTGGGTAACTATTGGTCAATGCCACAGGGTCCCCACCCCCCAAGCATGCCAATCCAGACTGGATTATTCTTGGCTCAAATCTAAACTGGCCTCTGGTGGTGCAGAAAATATCTCCCTTTATTGCATAAAATCAAGCTGCCTTGACAGTGTAAAAAATCTCTTGATTTTTTTTTCTACATAGCAAAATGATTTGCATAGATGTGTCTTCAGCAAGAAATTACATTGTGCCTTTCTTAATAACTTATCTTCCTTAGGAATAAAATAGAGGTACAAGTATTGAAATTTGCAGTCATTTCTTTATTTCTTTAGGATCTTTTCCTTTTTTTCAGATTTGTCACTGTTAAAGCTAAATGAAAGGATCAAAATGGTTAAGACATTAGGCATGTAAGTAACCTTTGATTGATTGATTGATTGATTGATTGATTGATTGATTGATTCATTCATTCATTCATTCATTCATTCATTCATTCATTCATTCATTCATTCATTCATTCATTCATTTAGCTGTCATGGAGGATGATCTTGTCTAGGACCATGACTTCGGCAGAAACCAAAGAATTAAGTATTTTCCTTTGGCACCTCCCAGTGTGGCTAGCCATTAGCTAGCTAGGCTATGTAGTACTTACACACTAGTATAAGCACAGTGTGAGATGGGATGCGAGTTGGAGGCATCGCTGGCTGAAGTGCCATCCATCCTCGACACTGAGAATAGGCCTGAGGAGAAGGGCAAACTGGGAGCACAGAATAAACACCCTGAGGGGAAGGAACAGGAAACATTGATCCAGTGTATGAAGGGGTGGGAATTAATGAGAGAGGAAAAGAAAAGGTGGGAAACAAGAAGGGGGATTGCAGAGAGAGAGAGAGGTGGGGTAAAGGGAAGTTATAAGGAGAGAGGAGCCCTTGCCTCTGGGCTGGGAGTGAATATGGACTGATAGATGGGAAAGGATTGAAGTACTGAGAGAAGAGGCTGACTGTTGGAGGAGGTCCGCTATTCCCGCATGTCCCTCTTATTGGGGAGAAACTGAGGCAAGAGAGTTGAGAAGGAAGATTAGGGAGGAAAGGGAAAGAGTAGTGGAGGAAAGGCATAAGAGAAGCGAATAGGGAGTTCTGGCAATGAAGATGGAGCAGTTGAAAAAGTCTGGGAGACATTGGATCGGCTGGGGAATACCCTCTGGGGTGACCTTCTCAGAGATGAGGCTGTGCCCCTGTTGCCTGGCCCACCGACTACCATGTTAAGAGACTGGACAACCTCAGATCCACCGGGTCCATGGAACTCTAGCTATGGCAACCCCTTTCTTGTTGAAGATTGGAAACCCCTGACTGTCCCATTGACAGAAGGAGACACAGAAATGTTTAAGGGCACTAGTTTATTTGTTCAAGACACAATAAATGTTCCATTGTTGAAAGAGCAACCCTCGAATGAAGGCTTTCTTGCAAAGGAACCAGAGTTGGCTTAGGTACATATAGCATCATCACACATAGTCTTAGAATATGGACAGAGTGCACCCTGCACAGCATAGCAGACAGCAACTAAGCATAGTTTCTCCTAAGAGACAACTAAGAAAACTGAAGTAACTTCTGAACTTGTTTTTATTCCTTATTCATCACCTTCCAGAACTTTTGAGATGGTCCACCAAAGAGGCTTCAAATTTACTCAAATGTTAATGAAGCCAAGAACAGTTTCTTTCCCCCTCTCTTCACCACATCTGAAGTCATTCCCCAACCAGCACAGTACTGGGGAACAAATCGTGCAGCATTGAAGTCTTAGCCCAACAGATAAATCATAGGCAGAGCTTCCATTCCTTTGTGGGCAAAAGCTCCTTTCTCTCAGCCAGCAGTTCCCAGGCACTGAGGAAAGCCTGATTTTTCCCTCTGTTTCTCAGTCTCTTCAAGCAAAGATTACTGATCTGAAGACTAACTCGTATCAATGTACACTACCTGAGTGGGTTTATGAACACTGGTATAACTAACCCAGTTGGGCTTTCACTGAAAATCTCACAGCTAATTCTTTTTGTGTTGGGAATAGGATGGTGTGAGGAAAAGAAGACAAGAGATGGTGAACTGTCCTCTCCCATCCAAAAGCATGGAGGAAATCTGGAAGAGCCCCTGGACTTGATAGACCTGAGGGCAAGAATATCTGGTTTGAATGTAGAGGAAAAGGAAAGCTGGAGGAGGAGCTACTGGGGGAGGAGAGTGGATGAAGAAGGCTGGGAGGAAATGGTGAAGGAGGACCCATGCACAAGGGAGTGGGTGACCCTAAGGATCCCCTGAGAAGAGGCTAAGGCTGAGTGGAAAGAGAGAAAGGAATGGAAACCACCCTTTTGAGGTGAAACTGAAGAGAGGGAAAAGAGGAGACAAAGGGAATACTTTGAGAGGGAAGCCCACAAAAGAGAGGCTCAAAAGTGCCCATCTTACCGTGGGGCCAGTCCTGGGATGAGATGACTCCCTACCAGACCTTGCAAGGACCTGGGCAAAAGAGTTTGGGTACCTGCTATGGACTGGATGTTCCATCAGTAAATGTAGGCTTTGAGCAAAGATACCCATTTACTGAGCCTGGCACTTTGTTGCCTTTTCCTTGTTATGTTAGCCCCTCCAAAAGGGGAGTTGAGAATGTTGATAATTGAAGTCTACTCCCAGAGCACTTATCCGAAACTTATTCCAGTTTCGTTCTCATTAAATTAAAAACCTTAATTTGAAAACCAATATTGCCTCTGACACCATGACTGAGGGGACTGAGATTAAGGAGAATGTGGATAGAAGACATTTTCCAAAATTAAAATTTTGCTTTGGGAGAATTAAGTTTTTTAATCTAAGCACAGACAATGGATTACATCATTATAGGAAGAAACTGCTAACAGATTATCAAATTATGTCCTTCAATGAAATTCCACAGATAGAAGGTATATTTCCATTGTCGTACAGCTCAGTATAAAGGCCACCAGGTTTATAAAGGATATGTGCTGTACATCTCTTCATTTTACATAGTGGAGCCGATACAAAATACTGGCTGCCTGATTGGTAAGCAGACATCTGAGACAGGACAGTGGGAGGACCTGAACAGCAATTTAAGTTAATGAAAAACTACCGCTCAGGAGGAGGCCAGGCAATACACAGGCACAATTAAAGTTTAAGAGGGAGGGGAAATCTTTATTGAAACTAATCTTCAGGTGAATCTGCAGAGATGAAAATCGACATTCATACTCACATTCTGCCCAAGATGTGGCCTGATCTAAAACAGGTAACCACAACATTGGTTATTTGATTTAAAACGCAATAAAAAGCCATAACGTTTCTGATTTCTGATGATGTTTTCAGCTGAGCGTTGTCTCTGATATATATGGGCTTGGAGAATTCCCTTCTGGATTGGGTGCGTTTTTGTTTTTTTAGATCAGAGAACTCACAGAAAAAGAGCAGAGAGAGAGAGCTTAATGCTATGTGTGCCAGAGGGCATTTTGAACGGTTTTGATAAAATTATATGAAACAAAGTTATTCCAATAGCTGCTTAGTAAAGCCCAAAGTTTAGGTGTAGCTGCCTTTTATACTAACTTGGAAAAAATGAGCTCATTAAGCTAAAAGCACATTTTAAACATGTTTTACTGAGGAGTGCTACTTTCACAGTAGCTTGCTCCCTTGCAAATGTGTTTGTCAGGGCAGCCAGCTTACTTGAATATCTGCTACTAGTTAATTTGTCCAAAAAATGATGCAGAAACATAAATAATACTTGGATAAATTACAGTAGGCATATTCGTAGCATGCCTAGTAGCACACAGGAAATGGCAGGAAATGACATTTCACTTAGCTGAGGAGTTGGGGTGTGTGGAAATCCACTATATTCCTTATTTCTCAGTGTAAAAGCTTGCCATCTGGTAGATTTGAAGGGTAAGATGGTAATTTTATTAGAAGAAGATTTGTTTTCACTTTGAAATAATTGATGATGTGAAGTGATGTGCTTGCGAACAGCAGTAGCAGCAATGTTACATTAGCAGAATTAGCACTACAGTTTGAAATAAATATTAATTTTTGTCAGGGTTTTGTTTTGTTTTGTTTGTTTTTTTGCAAGCATCACAATCACATAACTATGGAGGTAACTATTGTGATAGGAAGTTAATTACATTGCATCAGATATAGTTCTCATTGGAAATCAATGTATTGTTTCTTGCAATAAAATCGTGATATCTTAAAGCACAATGCCTCTCCCCCAAATTTAGGGAGTTGCTTAGGTCACATGGTATCTATGTGGCAAACTGTTACAGTTCTTGGCCATGTTCAGATATATACAAGATAAACAGAAAGGTTGTTTGCCACCGCAGGATTTCGAAGTCACACAAGCTTCCATAGCAAAACAGGCCATGGGATAAGAGTTCAAACCCATGTCCCATGGCATGGTTCTAGACAATCACACACCACCACTCTGGCAGGCAGAACCCGTAAGTAGAGTGGGCTGTCCCAGGGCATCAGTATCTAAAGGATACAAAAATTTGCTGAATTAGCCTTGTTAGTGGAAAGATGTGAGTGTGTCTAGTTGGACCATGTATACCAACTCTGGAGCTATTCCTCTCCAGGCAGAAGGAAAACAGAACAGGTAGGCCCAATGCAGAACCAGAAACACCATTGCATGCAAAGAATCAGGCATTCCTCCCCATTCCTCCCTCCCCTCCTCTCATATGCCAACCTCACACAACCCAAGATTAACCAATAGGGCAGCGTCTTTTTTTTTCCCCCCCTTTTGGAACTACAAGAGAACCAGTGGCCATGCCAAGCTGAGCCCTGACTCTGGAAAACATCAGGATCCAATTTTAGAAAGATTGCCTTCTTCTATTACAAATTCTCTTATGCTTTCAAAGCAAACCAGTGCATTTGCTATCTTCTCACATCCTGTGGTCCCTGTAAGAGGGAGAGATGTAAAGGGAAGTAGATAGTTACTTTCCCTCCTCCAAAGTCAGTCTGTCTTGACCGAATCTTTCTTTTGCAGGGCTGGCTCACACAGCGTCTTCCTCACAGGGGAACCTGCATTTGTGAATTAGCTATCCTGGAAATGCATCACCTGTGACACTGCTTTTTAAAACCAGTTCCTCTCCTATTAAACAGAATGCTGTTTAACCGAGTCTGACATGCACATTTGGCTACTGGTAGTGGTGGAGAGGAAACTAAGAGATTTTGTTCTTTTAAAAATAGTATAAAGTAAAAAGCGGGGAGGATATATGAAGAATGAGCATTGTCTGGGTATGGTATTTTATTTTATTTTATTTTTTTCATTTAAAGACCTACACAAGTTCTTCAGCAGTACAGCTGTATAGCATCACATTGTTCAGAAAATAAAAATCCTCCAATTTTTTAAAATTACTGTTCTAAAAAAGCCATACTTTTATGGGCAGGCAGCAATGGTGTTTTATTGCAGTTAATGACATTACACATGCTGCCCAATCAGTGTTGTTATGTCCAACTACTGCTATGTTTGGCAAACTATGAAAGGGGGGGGGAGAAAGGATCTTTACAAAGGCATAGATTTGTGTTTGTGTTTGGGTTGGTGTTTTAGTGTTTAGAGAAAGGTTGTCCGGAGAGAAAGGTCTTTGCCTGCTGGCAGAAGGACAGCAAAGATGGGGCCAGGCTGGCCTCCAGTGGGAGGGAGTTCCAGAGTCTAAAGGAGTAACCACCGAGAAGGCCGTCTCCTGTGTCCCCATCAGATGCACCTTGGAAGGTGGTGGGACCGAGAAAAAGACTTCTCCTGATTATCTTAACACCCAAGCCAGCTCATAATGGGAAATGCAGTCTTTGAGGTAGCTTGAACCCAGGCCATTTAGGGCTTTATAGGTTAAAACCAGCACTTTGAATTGTACCTGGTTACTGATCGGCAGCCAGTGGGGACAGAGGGTTGATGTCGTCCCTATAACCAGCCCCAGTCAGCAATCTGGCTGCTGCATTTTGGACCCGTTGAAGTTTGCTGACACTTCCTATCAGCAGCCCCACATAGAGCACATTACAGTAATCCAGCAGGGAAGTAATTAGGGCATGTATCACAGTGGGCAGATCAGATCTCTTGAGGAACAGATGTAGCTGATGCACTAGTTTTAATTGTGCAAATGCACTCCTGGCCACCGCCAAGACCTGGGCATCCAGGTTCAGAGATGAATCTAGGAACAACTTCAAGCTGTACACCTCCTTTTTCAATGAGAGTGTAATCCCATCCATTACCAGCTACATCCCTATTCCTTGATCTGCCTTTTGACTGACCAAGAGCACCTCTGTCTTGTCTGAGTTAAGTTTCAATTTATTCACCCTCATACAATCCATTACTGATACCAAACATGGATCTAGAGCTGAAGTAGCTTCCTTGGATTTAGGTGGCAAGGCGAGGTAGAGTTGGTTGTCATCCGCATACTGGTGACACCAAACCCCAAAACTCCGGATACTCTCTTCCAGAGGTTTCATGTAGATGTTAAACATCATAGGAGACAAAACAGAATGCTGTGGGATTCCACAGGCCAGCGGCCAGGGTGTCGAACAGGAATCCCCCAGAACCACCTTCTCAGCTCTCTCCTCCGGGAAGGGCTGGAGCCACCATAAAACAGTGCCCCCAAGTGCCATTCCAGAGAGAGAAGTTGGGAGGATACTGTGGTCAATAGTATCAAAAGATACAGCAAAACCAACAGGGACACAGATCCCCTATCTGGTTCCCAGCGTAGGTCATCTACCAAGGCGACCGAAGCCATCTGTCTCCCATAACCAGGCCTGAATCCAGATTGAAATGGATCTAGATACTCTGTCTCATCCAGAAACCTCTGGAGCTGAGAGGTCACAACGCACTCTAGTACCTTCCCCAACAATAGGATATTATATACTGGTTGGTAATTATTCAATATTATGGTGTCCAAAGAGGCCTTTTTTAACAATGGTCTTGCTATTGCCTCCATTTAGCATGTGGAGATCCTACTCTGCTGCAAGGAAGCATTCACCACTCCACCTACCCAATCAACCAGTCCCTTCCTGGTGGCTTTTACAGGCCATGAAGGACAAAAATCCAACAGGCACGTGGTAGCCCTCACCTCCCCAAGGATCCTAATCACATCATGAGGGAACAGCAACTGAAACACATCCATTAACACAGGGGAAGCATGGGGTGCAATTTCACTCACAGGGCCTGAAACAGCTACAGCATCCAAGTCAGAGCAGATCTGAGCAATTTTGCCTGCAAAGTATTGTGCAAATTTTCATAGCGAGCTACAGTGTGGTCTGCATTATCTACCTGCATGTAGCAGACTCCTAACCATTTCAACAAAAGCTCCTCTAGGCAATTCAGTGCAGATGGAGCAGAGAAGAATGAATTCTTTGCTGCTACCACGGCCTTGGAATAGGCATTCCAATGGGCCCTAACTCTTTTCTGATCGTATTCACTCTGAGTTTTCTGCCATAATTGCTCAAATCTATGACCCACACGTTTCATCTCCATTAGCTCCCTGGTGAACCAAGGGGCCAATTTGGCTCTGCTTTGAGGGAGGAGATATTTAGGAGCAATCATGCCGATGGCTTTTGCCATTTCCTCATTTCAGAGATCAACCAGGGATTCAATAGAGTCACCTGTCAAGTAGACAGGAAACTCCCCAGTGGCAGCCACAAAACCATCTGGATTCATCAACCTTCTGGGATGGATTTTCTTAGTCTGACCCCCACCCCTGCAAAGGCTCTGAGTTCCAGTGAGTCCAAATTACACTAGACAATGGTGTGCCCAAAACAATGACATTACAGGAAGTTCTTCTACACCCAGGTCACCGACTTCTTCACTGGTAAAGATGACCAGATCTAAAGGGTGGGCCACAGCATGGGTGGGGGCAGATACCATTTGGGACAGATCCATGGTCATCATGAAGGTAATGAAGTCTTGAGAAACCCCTGCATCAGCGTGGATGTTAAAGCCCCCCAGCATGACAAGCTGACAAGACTCCAACACAACCCCTGATACCAGCTCAGTTAGCTGTGGAAGAGCGGTTGTTATGGCATGGGGTAGGTGGTCAACCAGGAAAATTCCTATTTCGTCCTGGGCTCCTTCTTTCAGAAGCATACATTCACACCCATTTTGATTGTCTGTGCCTGTTATTTCTGAATAATAATAATAATGAACCTTAACAGATTTGATCAGGATAGTAAATGATGTAGGGGAGCATTGACTTTCCCACGGCCAGCTCATACAAACAGACCTTGAGGAGGCAGTACCTCAAAACGCCTTCCTCCTCATTTCCCTTC